CTATTGATAGGTGCATTAGTCAAAGTGTGGTACATAAGTAACCTATTGAAATGTGAAGCAGTCACAATTTGCCCAAGTTAGGCTTGTTAATATTGGATTTAGTATGTGAAACCACCCCCAAATGGAGTTTTTACAAACTTGTTTGGTATTTATGTAACATTTGCAATGTTTACATACTATTTTATCAAAATTGTACAGAAATGCCAAATTTTACAGAATTGCTTCAATTGTTTGGAGTCTGGGCCTAGTGTAAAAGACTGTTTTGATTGAATGGCACAGGTACAATACCTTATCACCTGTCAGATCCTAACCTATAGAAGTAAACCAATATTCTGAAATATTATATAGTATGACTATAAAGTTACTAAATGTTATTTGTGTTCATTGGCCACTTAATGAAAGGTATTGGCTTCAGCTAGACATCAGTAAAGCATGGTTTACAAAGCTTGGTGTAGCTTGTGGATCACACCTCCGTACAAGCACCCTTAAAATAATATTGAGGAATGAGGGCTATTTTAAAAATGAACCTAGGAGCTCTTTTTTTAATACAATTTATAGCTGAAGAATTTTTCTTGGTATTGAAGCAGTTGGTAGTACTCTATGGCTGAAATAATCCTGCTGTTTGTTTAAAATATTAATGATATGATTCCTAAATTTGTAATGCAATCTATGAATAATTTTTTTTGAAAATGTTGGTTTTCACTTTATAAACCAACAATTGTAACATGTCAAAATACATTCATTTGCAGTATAGATCATGGATAAACTTACTTGCTTTTTAAACAGTGAACTTTTATAATTTGTCCTATTTGAATTCAGGGTTTAGAATTCACTAATTTATCTGCAAACCTCTTTTCTGTTGGTCAGTAATTTCTAACAGAAGCCTTATTAAATTTATCATACATTGCAAAGTGCAAAAGTTCTCTTTTTTTTAATACTTTTTACAAGTTAGTATTAATAATTGCCATACTTGTGTAGCAATGAATTACTAAAAGACCTGAATTTTATAAATTTACAAATTTTGTTAAAATGTTCTTTATGCTATGTTTAATATTGATATCTTTACAGACTTTATAATACATAATATTTGATTCATGTCACTGTGGCAGGTACAGATCTATGCAGTCAGTTCCACCTAGATTGTGTCTTTGTTAAAATAGCCATAACTGAGTTGAAATAGAAATTCAAAATATGAAGTTAAAACAGGAAATTAAAGGAACTCCACACATCTGCAGTCAACATTTTAAATTGATAGTCTTTCTGATGAAAAGTCATCAATCCAAAATATTTCACTACTTTTCTCACCACAGTAACTGCTCTGTATTTCCAGAATGTTTTTATTTTTAATTCAGAAATCCAACATGGGCAGTAGGTGTGCTTTTGTATCAGAATTCGGAGCTAGCTGAACCATTATGGTTGTCAGCTGTATGATGAGAAGCAAAGAGAAAACTTGATTTTAGTGGGCATCAGAGCTTAAATTAACTTCCTTAAATGTTCCATTTTTTGTGGGGAGGGGTGGTGGGAAGAAATCTTTTTGGAATTAAGTTAACTTTTTGTTAAGACAATACACAAACTAAAGACAGTTCATTCTTGGTCTTGTTGAACTTTGCAACTGCTTCCAAGCCTTGATCAACTTAAAGGTAACTCGATATTTACATAATTTTATTAAACATTTTATTCGTTAAAAATGCAATATATTCTAATTAGTGCCCTAAGAGACTGTCTACAGTGAAGAGAATAGTTTTAGAATGTCTGGATCCTGGAGGAAATCTTTGTACTTCCTATTTTGAAGTATTTTGTTGCGGCACAGTCCATAGCCCTTATTACAATGTACTGTGAAGTCTTAGGCGGTTGAAACTAGAGTAACTGTACCATACAGTCTGAGAGGTTATCAAACTGCATTTTATGATATCATGCTAAAATTTACTGTGCCTACTGTGCAGCAATTTTAAATTATTTTTAGTCAACCTGTTTGGTTGACATCTCGGGCAGGTTGGACTTGAACCTGCTGACAACAATACAAGAGCCTTAATTATCCACTAATTATTACAGATATGTAGAAGGAGACAGTAGTGTTTCATCTGTCTCTGATCTTCAGACATTACAAAATAACCACATATAACAGCCCTTAAATTGAACAGATAACAAGTATTAAAATAATGAATTTGCTGTAGCTTTTCTGAAGAATCTAGTGTTACATATGATCTGTCATAATCTACTTTCCTTATTTCACCTTTTGAAGGCTTCTATTGGATCATTTTCTCTGATTTACTCCCAGTGACCACTTTTTGTTTGTGAACCTGGAAAAAAAAGTACACAGTGCAGTGCCATTACACTTGAGCTGGATACTCTTCTCACGGCCTTGCGTACGCTTACACCAGTGCTCCAAGTTTACATTGGGGTACTGAAGGGTTGGGATCCAACCCAGCTGTATTTATCATGGTGTTTCCCTACTTTCTGTAGGATGCCGTGTTCAGTTATTGCATCTTTCATTAAGATTGCCTGCTCAGGACTGCTAACTGCAGAAAAACAACTTCTCATGCTGGTACTATCCATTATTGAGGCCAGCAACAATAAATTAAGTGTTAAAATATTTGCTGTCCTCAGTAAGCAAGTATCATTTTGTTCATTCTGAGAGACATTGTATAGCAAGGTACTTAATGTTTTTTAACTTTTTTCTGATCTTCACTGATTCAAGACATTTGAAGATGAACTTGTCGTAAGTTTGTGAAAGATTTTCATTCTAAATAGAATTAATAATTTGTATACTAAAGTAAGTTTTATCTCCTAAGGGCCAGTTTAGTATCATGTGCAGTTCATTTCATTGCGTTGCTGCATCATGCTGTCGTGTTAAACCATGTGAGAACAGCAAAAGATTCCTCCAACTCTGCACAAATCATTTGGGTGGCAGTTCAGTTTTAGACAAAAAAGTTCCTTCGTTTTTGTAATGTGATCCAAATTACTACAAGTTGTTCTGGTAAAGCCAATATCATAGCAGTAACTGGTGCCAGTTAGTAATTGCTTAATATATTAAATGGAATCATGACACTCAAATTTCTTCCCCTTTTTTCTCTCTGCAAACCTACAAGTGCTTCAACTAATGACATGTAATTTAATGCAGAAGTGGAAAATCTTCCTGGTGGAATTTTGAGTTTCACATCCAACATATTTTGCTTGCTTGTTTGTTCTGCAAGCAGTCTGCCAGAAATTGAGGATTAAGGCCAGTCACCACTTGCATACCAATTTGCATCTTTTATTGTCTATTGTTTTTCACACAAGTCCACCATTTTCTTCAGTGAAGCCACTGAATTCATTCCTGCATCCTCACTTTGCAGAATAGATGTTTAGTTCCACATTCTTATGAAACTGTGTAGCAGATGTTTCACTTGTTTTGAAAGTAAGAGTATTTAGCTTGTTTAATTTGCTATACATTTAAACATTTCATAGTCCCCTCTGGTCACAACAATCCTTTTGAGCCCTTTGAATATTTCAAACATTTCTATAGGTTGCCTTTGAATTGTTATTACTATTTTCTTTTATGACTTTCAAGATGACTTTAGTTTTATTGGGTAACTTAATGATGGTCTCAAGTCACTTGGAATGTATCTTTTGGCATATGTTTGATCAAAAAATTCTGTAAACACTTATGTTTCTGTTTCTCCAAGGGCTTTTACGTGTTCTGTTATTAATTCACTTCATGCAACTTGTACTCATCAATTTCAAAATATTCTTTTCCTCTGATGTCATAATGTTCGGTACTTAATTTGTCTCTATACCCCCTTAAATTGGATCATCATAAATTCACTTGTATATCCTGTCCTTTTTTCTTGCTATACATCCCTCAAACAATATTTTACCATCTTTGCCTTTCATGTACCTTGCCATCACACATCTGGTCAGACCATTTCTCTTTAGTCTGTTGACATGCTTTTTTTTCTCAGTTTCATCATACTCTGGTATGTTTATTTTCTTTCCCCTTTCTATCTCAATTCTATTTCTGTTCTTTTGCTCATCTCATCTGTCACCCTCTCCTAGTGTCTTTTTCTTTGGTATTTTAGCAATGTTTTCTTTATGCTAATGCTTTTCCATTTGATTTCTATTTCTTGTTCTGAGACCTCTGTTCTGGTTCTGCGCAGGTACTGATGGTCAACAAGTGAATGTCATTAATTTTTTTGCCAAATTTAGACTTGTCTAGACTGTTGAACCTAATTTCCACATTTCTATGTGGACTAGTTTCACTGTCATTTTATACAAATCAAAAGAACTTCAGGGAGTGTTCTTTGTTATTTGGCTTATTTGTATGGATCCCTGTTGTGTTTGCATGCAATGTTTAATGAAATGCACTTTTCCTAAACTTAAGTTGAAAGAGGTTAGAAAACTATTTTTTCATCTTAATATACCAATATGTTACTATGTGTATATATAAACCACAGCAATCTTAAACAAAATCGAATTATGATTAGAATTATTATCAGAAGGTTGATATGGTTTTCTAGAAATAAAAACAAAATACTGGAAATATTTGGCAGGCCAGATATTATCTGTGGAGCAAGAAACAGTTAATGTTGCAGGTCAGTGCCCTTAAGTTCTGTATGACTGCCAACTATTTCCAGCATCTTCTGCTTTTATTTCTGATTGCCAGCATCTGCAGTATTTTGTTTTTGTCCTATATACCAGGACTGGGTTCAACTAACGAGAACAGTTGCTTGCTATATAATGTAATGCCTTTTTCTTTTTGCATTATTTAAAATTGAACTTTTTATTTTCTATCTTTTGTGATGCAGTGCCAATATATTCCGAAGTATTGCAAAGTAATGTTTCCATTTTAATAAGCTAGCAATAGCAAATGGACCTGTTGGGAAGTTGTGTATACACAAACTGATATCTACCAGCCAGTAATGAAATGCCTCAGAAATACTATAGGTTAATAATAACCCCTTTAGCAATGTTGTATTTATACAGCACAGGTTCTATCAGTGAAAATTTATTGAATGAAACAATGAACACATTGTGGTATCTGACTACTGTAATATAGTTAAATTACAATTCTATTTTCAAGTTACTTTTGTCAAGGGCTATATCTTAGATTTTAATTCATCTATAGAGATGCTGTATTGGGTCATTTGGGCTATATTAATACAAATATTAACATAGAAATGTTGCACCTTGGCAAGGACAAAACAAACTGACGACTTGGAAGTTTTATTTCATAAATCACAACACCTGAACAGAAAATGATATCGGTTGCTAACTCTGCATGTAGAATCCTATTGTGCATTATAAAAGCAGGTGTATCTAAAAGTACACGTTGTCACAAAAATAATTTTCCCCTCCTAGTGTATATGAAGTACAACAGAATATTGAGCTATAAAAGTATCTGTTTACCGTACCCTGATATAACAAATCAATTATTGTATGAGTTCATACATTATAATCTTTCTCTGGAGTGTAATTCTGATCTACAAGTGGCAGCACATGAATATGCTTGTAAATGTTGGTTTGCAAATTAGTGTATAAATTGGAGCTATGAAGTTATGGAAACTTGGGCACTGCTCAACTTTTGCCTTGTTTTCTTCAGTTCAGTGGGATGGGATTCTGTTCATCTGCAGGATTTTTTTCACTCTTTTTTTCAGATATTTCTCTCCTGAGAGTTTTGACTTTTGCTGAGGTACTATTTTGCAGATGCCAGTAGCCCTCCAGCACCATGCCTTAATCGTTCTTCTTGTGTAAGCATAAATGTCTTGCAGTCTATTCTGTGGATGCACCATGGCCAAACTAGACGCCTTTTGCAGATGTGGTTCCAGAGTTGTGATCACTTCGTTTGTAAAATTCACACAATAGGTAATGGAATGGTCAGGGAAATCTTAACCTATTTAATTAACATTCTCATCTTTTTTTTCTGCACTGAGCTTGGTGAGAAGAATTTAAAAGATTAAAAAAACTGCAAAAAAAATCATGATACATAAAGTGCTTGGTGTTTACCCTCTGACTTTGACTTTGCTTTTCCAATCACCAACCTCAACTCCTCTACAGACACAAGCTGGTTATGTTTCTTTTAAATTAAGATACTGCAAATACCCAGCAGGTCAAACAGCATATTTGAAAACAGGAACAGTTAATATTTTAAGGTCAGTGATCTTCTGTTTGAAACTTCTGAGAAGTTGTCATCAAGCTGAACTTTCACTGTGCTGTCTGTGTTTGCTGCCCGACTCGGTGTTTTGAGTATTTGTGTTTTTATTTCAAGTTTCCAGAGTCGTCATATTTTGTTTTGATCTTCTAAGTGCTGGATGCCTCATTTTTTGTTTAGTGGCTGTTTTCATCTGTTAATTTGAATAGGTTCATCAACCATGACCACATCACACATCTAAAACCCATTCTTGTCATTACCTGATATGCAATTTTCACCTACAGTTACACATTCATCAATTGTAAATTTCGTGGAAATTTTATTTTTCCTTTCTTTTAACGCAATTATAATGTTCCCCAGCTGAGATCAAATACCTTGACACGAAATGGGAATGAAACGTCTAGATCGTTTTAATATCTGATTTGGTGCTACATCAGAAGGATGTGAAAAGGGAAGCTCCTCTAGTCTTAGATTGTTTGGATTTGGCAATATACAAGCAAAGTGTCATGCCCCTTTTTGTGGTCCCAAAAACTACTTGATTCTAAATATTTTACTTTAAGGTAACAACATTTAAAATAGCTAGGAATAAAAACAAACATCTACATTAACAGGAATGATGAGGTAATCTAAGTTTCAACTGAATTTTTTTATTTTAGCCCTTTAAAAGAACATTTACTTGGCTACAGCCATCTTTTTCATGTTCTTCATTCCCATATTTGGCAATTTTCCTCAATTATGAAAATATTTGTATTCTTTATTTCTAATTCTTATTGTCATCCATTAGTATCTCTAATACGTCACTAATGCAGTATTCAATTAAAATTTGTTATAAGTTAGTTTGATTTACGTATGATACATGATAACTAAGATCAAGTGATTTACACTATATTTTTCACTTGACGTTGCAATGTTCTATCAGCCGTGGTGCATCTTGACAGATACCGCAAGAAGAATTCATGGGCTTTCTGTATATTTTGATGTGTGCCAACATGGTCATACTGCTTGTATATAAAATTTAAAATAAATTTTAAATTAAAATTTATTAAATTTTTAAAAGCATGCACATTTTTTAACAGCCACGTACAATGTACTCCATTAACCTAGTTAAATCCTTGTCTATCCCTTAATTTCAGTGGCATTACTTGAAAATATTTTGAGCAACAGCATTGAATTTGTGGAAAATCAGCTCAGCACAAATTAATTCAACAGTCATGGTTTCAAAGCAGCAAAACTGGTTAAATAGTGCTTTAGCTAAAAGTATCATTTTTAACTGTTCATTTAAAAAGATAGTATAATTGTGTAGGAAAATTGTGGGTTTTTTAATGTATCTTCATGAATTTGGGGAAATGGACTGAATCCTTTACATCATTTGCCTTCACTTTGTTGTATATTTTCTTTTGTTCAGAAATTGCAGTAAATTATTCAGATTGGAAAGCTGAAAGTAACTTCTTGTTTTGGTTTAATGCTTTAGTTACTAATAGTGATGCTGTTCCTATTATACTGTTTTTGTATATTGCTCTGTACATAAATGCAGAACATTTGTCTTTGCAGCCAATAATGCCTTGTATAAATTTACTGACGTGTATTAAACACATTTACAACTTCTAATTGTCTTTTGTAACTTTGTATGGATGAATGTTGGATGCATTTCACTGCATAAATCTAGGTAGATTACATTGGCTGCATGTGTCAACATGGAGAAGGTGGGGGGGGATCCTTCATGTATTGGTTGATCATTGTTTCCACTGGAAACAACGTTGCATTCGAACCAAGACCATCTGTTCTAATTCTGATTGAACTTTTCCTTTGACATGAATTGGAAATTTTTGTAGATTGCTAACTAAGAGAGTCACGATAATTAGGAGTTAAGGCCCTTAGTTAACTTCTCATACATCCAGAATACCACTTGACATCCAACAGCTTTGCCATCGTTAAATTCGCTGCATTAATATTTTGGCACGACCATTGATCATAAACTTGATTGTATCAGTGACAAGTCGCTTCAAGAGTGGCTCACAGGCAAGAGCTTTTTCACAGGTCACTCAATGCCTGACTCACCAAAGCCTTTTAATTTTCCACAAGGTACAAGTAAGAGTCTGATGGAATATTCTACAACACTCAGCTTGATACCATCCTGGGTGAAGCAGTCTGCTTGATTCGTACCCCATCCATCATCTTAAATGTTCACTCACTCCACCATCAAGTCAAACATGACTGTGTGGTGTTTTATCATCTACAATTCAGTAATGTACCAACATTTTATGTGACCTCCCAAAAGCTGCAACATCCACTATATAGAAAGACGAGTAGCAGACATTTTGGAACACTGACCAATCTTCCATTTTCTCGGGCAATTTCCCATCAAATTCTACATTCTATATTTCCATTCCTTCCTTGTTTCCATATTAACATTCAGAAACTTGATACCTAACAGCACTGAGAATTTTCACACTGACTACAATGGTTGAAGTGGCTTACCACTGCCTTATCAAGGGCAGTAAGGCTGGACAGTTATTGCTGGCAATGGCAGTGATGCGCATATTTGGTGAATGAATTTATAAACTAATTTGAGATGTTATCTGGCAGGGCATCATTTAAAAATGTAGCCAAATTATGTTGAATTTCTAAATCTGGCACTGGTAAATTAGGAACAGTTGTATAGTACAGGTTGAATTTATTCAGTAGTGTTATGATTCCAGCAGATGTTGTTACTGGTCAATTCAGATCTTTGACAAAAATCTGACTTGACAGATTTTTAAGAAAATTTATCAAGTGGTCTTTCACAAATATAACCTCTCAATGCTGTAGATTTAATAAAATGTCTCTTATGCAAAAGAAAGGAGGATATAATTTTAAAGATTGTGAAACAGTGAACATCAAACATCCCGTCTGTCCCAACAGCATTCCTTTAAAGTACCCAAACACTAGAGAGAATTCCCTTCTGTATCACATCTATAGGTTTGACTTAACTGTTTTCAATTCTTAGGCTTAAGAGTTTTATAGTGTCTTTGTTGAGTAGTCACACAACTGAGCTTAAACTTTTTCAATTTCGAATAATCTCTTTGGCTTTGTTTGGCTAGAATCCCAATGGGCCAAGGAGTGGCAGATGGAGTTCAATGTAGACAAATGTAAGATGTTGCATTTTGGAAAGGGGTGTCAGGGCAGGACTTTTACATTTAATGGTAGGGCCCTGGGAAATGTTGAACAAAGAGACCTAGGGCTGCAGGTGTATATTTCCTTGAAGGAGGAGTTACAGGTAGACAGGTGATGAAGAAAATGTGTGGCACGTTTGTCTTCATTGGTCAGTGCATCGAGTATAGGAGTTGGGATGTCATGTGGCTGTACAGGACATTGGTTAGGCTATTTTTAGAATACCGTGTTCAATTCTGGTCTCCCTACTTTAGGAAGGCTGTTGTGAAACTTGAAAGGGTTCAACGAACATTTACCAGGATGTCGCCAGGGCTGGAGTATTTGAGCTGTAGGGAGAGGCTGAATAGGCTGGGGCTTTTTTCCCTGGAGCATCGGAGGCTGAGGTTTATAAAATCATGAGGGACACGGATGGGGTGAACAGCCAAGATCTTTTTCCCAGGATAGGGGAATCCAAAATGAGAGGGCATAGGTTTAAGGTGAGAGGGGAAAGATTTAAAAGGGTTCTAAGGGGCAACTTTTTCATGCAGGTGGTGATGTGTGAATGGAATGAGCTGCCAGATGAAGTGGAGGCCAGTACAATTATAAAATTTAAAAGGCATCTGGATGGGTACATGAATAGGGAAGCGTTTAAAGCAATATGGGCCAAATGCTGGCAAGTGAGACTAGATCAGTTTACGATACCTGGTTGGCATGGATGAGTTGGACCAAAGGGTCTGTTTCCATGCTGTATAACTCTCTCTATGACTTATGGCCTGGAAATTTCAAACTGAAAACCTTATACTGAGGTAACCTACTTCCTAATTTTTATGAACTAGCCCCTTTCTCTGGGAGAAACCATTTCATGCATCTAACTTCAGCCAGGATTTCAGTGAACTGAAAACAAAAGGTTTTTGAGCTAGGGGGTTCTGAGGAACATCACTCGACCCAAAACATTAACTCTGATTTCTCTCCTCAGATTTTGCCAGACCTGCTGAGGTTTTCCAGCAATTTGTTTTTGTTTCAGTCTCTACTCGTCAATTGAGTGACTAGTTTGCTAAATTGTCTATCAGCCCAATGGGCTGAATGGCCTAATTCTACTCCTATATCTTGAGGTCTACCTAGCTCTCATTAAGAGAAAGTGTTTACCAAGCCTGTTGAGAAATGTTGACTTCCTTGGACAAGCACACATAGGAGAGCAAAGAAAAGGAAGAGTTTGCAAGCTGTGATAAGATCCCAAGGTTTTTTGTACTGGGAAGAATATGCCTATAATATTCCTTCAGCCTCCACATACTGAAAAGTGATTCACTGCTCTCAAGGATTATTTTTATGACAATCTGCAGCTGTAAAACCTATAAAATGTGTCAATGATCTTTGAATAGAATAAGTGCAATCAATATGAGATTCTCCTACCAAGTATTCACAAGCAAAGACATCAGCATCATGCCCTCCCAGAGAGAATATGAGCAAAACTGTGGCAAATACTCTTGCAATAACATAAAATTGATCTGTTTGCCCAGCATGTAATATTCAATTATGCAATATTATTTATTATAGATGTACTCTGTTCCCATATGAAATGTCTGAACGTTCATTTTTACTGAAGTGCAGGATCTTAATAGGAAGAATTAAAAGCATACTAATCGTGCTGCAGGAACCTTTTTTTTGCAACCCATAATGTTTTTCTGAAGTCGACAAATCATTTAAGTACGTTAGTTTTTTGCATGATTAATAAATATCCTTTGTGCTGTTTTTAGTGAGATACAAATTAATTTGGTTTTTATATTTGGACCCATTGACAGAAAAAAGTGTCAAAACGATATTACACTGTACAGCATGAAGTGAAATAGGAAACTTGGTAAAAGATCAAGGGGTAGCATTGTTAATCAAAGATGGCATTGAGGCAATAGTTAGAGATGACTGTGGTTCAAGACGTCCGGATATAAAATCAAGTTAGGTGAAGATGAGGAATAGCAGAGGAAATAAGTCACTAGTAGTGGTCTAAAATAACCTCTTTACAGTAACCACAATGTGGGAACCAAGTATACAAGAAATATTTTGTGCTTGGTTAAAGAAATGGCAAATATATGTGACTTTCATGTACATATAAACTGGGAAAAACCAAGTGCCAGCAATAGCCTGTATAGGAGTTCATTCAATGGTTGAGTTTCTTAAAGCAGCATGCTTTGGAACTGACCAGGGAGCAGGTCATCTTAGACTTGGTATTGTGCAATGTGACAACATTAATCAATTGCATCAGATATAAGACACTCCTAGGTGGCAGCAGCCACTTTATGAATTTTACATTCTGTTTGAAAGTGAGAAGATGGGATCCATGACTGGTATTTTAAACCCAAGTAAGGTCATCTGTTTGAGACTGAAATCTCAGCTAGCTGCTGTGAATCGGCACTCGAGGCTGAGGCATAGATCAATACAGAGACAGTGGAAAACATTTAAGGAGGTGTTTTCAGAAAAACCCTCTATCTGAGGTGAACTAAAATCAGGAAAAGCATATAACTGTGCAAAGTTGAATAATAAATGAGATGATTAATCATAATATAAAGAATAGCAGAGAATGACTAAAATGT